TACTGTGAATATACAACATTTATGGACAAAACACGGAATATAAAACACGGATTAACTTTTTTTATAGGGTAATATAATGTTTTCATATATTTTAAAAAGGTTGCTAGCTAGTTAATTGGTCGGTCGGTCGGTCGGCCGGTCAGTCGGTCAGTCATTAACCGTCGGTTATAACCGTGGTCGGTCGGTCATTGAGCAATAACCGGGCAGTTATTGACCGTGACCGACCATGACCGACCGTTGCCATCCCTAGTTTGGATTGAGAACGCCTCAAGTATTTGATTTATTTTATTTAACTACTTATGATACTTTTTATATACTAAATACTATATAAAGATTAAAATTCATACATAGATTATAAATGATAAAGAATTTACTTAAATATTTTACATAAACATCTAATGCCCTCCTTTAGAACCTGCTATACGAACGATATCATTTTGCTTATTCCTTTTATAAAACCAAAATCCTGTGAAACCTATTATTGCGAGAAGAGCAATTGCAACTATAGGAATTGCCACGATTACACTTGTACTTAATGTATTAGAGTCTGAGGCAACGACAGTTTGAATTTGAGTAACTGAGGGATTAGGTGAAGTAGTAGAATTTGGTTGTTTCAATGTGTCCGTGACCCACATGTAATTTCGAGTATCAAGAAGATATAATTGTGAATTCTTAATATTCAAGTCATAAACATTATTGCTTGTACCAGATATACCTTTATAGATTAAAAATAAATTAATACTTTATATATATACCTATATATATATTTAATAAACTAAATGCGCTGTATAATTACCAAATGCCAAAATCATAAAGTTTCCTACAATATCTGCAGAATGAAATACAAGTGGAGGTGGCACATTAATACCGTTCGGTGATTTTTTGGACCACTTATACGGATTAACGGTTGTATCTAATGAAGCTAATTGTTGGTTTTGATCTAAAGCACTGTTATTTTTAGTTCCGCCGTAAATTATAACATGCCCAGTTGGAGATAATACGGAAGTGTGGCCACTTCTAGGGTCTATTGTATCACCAACAGCAACCTAATAATTTATATATACTTCGTTAGATATAAAAATTGAAAATTTAAAAGAAAAAAGTTTATTAAGAACATTACCATTGTAGACCATGCCCCAGTATTGGTATTATAAATCGGAATCTAATCAAGAAAGTAAAATACAATAATTTAATACCTCAACGATTTAAAATCATAAACTTAAATACTTAATTATATTTAATTACGTTGGCCATATTAATATTGTCACCACCTCCTATATAAAGTATAAGACCATTATTTAAAAGTGTAGCAGAAAAGTCCGAACGAGCCGTTGGTGCACTATTAGATGAGCCTTGTGTCCAAACTGAGCTTAACGTATCAAGTATGAAAATGTCATTAAAAGCAACACCATTACCACTTACTCCTCCAAACCTAAGAAATTTAAAATAAGAATATAATAGAAACAATACAAAGAAAGAATAAAGATAAAAGACAAGCGTACATATATATCTTGCCATTAGTATCATTAACAGCTTGAAATTGTTGTCGGCTTGCAGGGAGCGTTCCACTCGTAGTGAGAGTAGTCCATGCCCCGCCTACAGTATCAAAGGCGTATACTACAGTGTTATTGGTACCGGCATTACTTGTGTTTAGATGCTCCAAAAGATATATCGTATTTTTATTAGGACCACCAACACATGCGCTAGCAAATGCAGAATTGGTCGGGACAGTAGCATTTGATGAGAACCATAAAGGATTTGAAATATTTAGCGTTGAAAGAGTTACATCGAGAAAAAAATTTTCTCTTGATTGTACGATAATGGAGCTACCAAAAAAGTAAAGCCTATTCCCTACAAGAGCACTACTTTGTCTGAGACGTCCGAGTGGCGCAAAACCGTCCACACCAGCAGAAGTCCAGGCAAGAAAAATAAGCAGGCAAAGGGGAAGATAGTTTTTAGTTGGATCCATATTGAATTAAATTAAAATTGCAAGATTAAGTCATGCAAATTATGTTTAAATAACGCCGTGCAAATCTCATGTTTCATCATTAATTTGCGTTAGAAGGTTACGCAGTCAAAGGGGATTCTGAATGTCGCGGATTGTCTAAATTGGATATCATAACTAAGGTTTACTTTTTATAGACTGTTTACTATCCTTTTTTGTTTAATCATGATTATCTTTATAATATTCTTAATTCTTTAGTCACATGATTATTATTGTGTTCAAGTGAATGGGCATTGATCGATCAAAGAAACAATATTCGTTTTTATGACATTTTAATGTTAATAAACATGACACGTGATTTATATTGTACGTACGTACGTAGCAGTTATGTTAATCGGACTTTTGCCGAAAATTCTTGGTAGTACTGGAGATCCTAGTGGCAATAAGGTCTTTTTTCGAGTCGCATTTATTGTGTATTCTAGTAATAATAACTTTGTGGCAATATTACCCTCATACCAGCATTATTTATAATATTAGTAAGATTTTCTTGTGGCAACTAATAAATTCATACCCCTCGAGCTTAACGCAAAGATAATACAAATAACTCTCGCTATAATGAACTCTCAACGTAGTGAATTATAGTAAAAGTTAGACTCAAAACCAGTCTATATAAAATTCACTCAATATAGTGAATTTACTAATAAAACTCTCGATATCGTGAATTTTTAAAAACTTTTACTATCGACCCGATTACTTCACTATAACGAGTGTTACGTATATATCAAGAATATGAATTGTTATCATACAAAAAATTTTACCACTAACTCTTCAAAAGAAAAATTCAATGGGCTTAGCAAAATTATAAATAAAAATCATTCTACAGTATTTGGATAACATAAATTAACTCCTTTTAGGATAGCATTAAGCATAAAATATTACAAATGAACCACTAATCATTTATGTTATTGAATTCTTATCCGGCAAACTCATATGATCATAAATTAATTTCTGCACGTTATTTTTTCATGTTATACGATGTAATCGTGTTTATTCAAATTAAAACTCAGTTAACAACTCCTTACCAATCATGATCATAAAATTGCCGGATAACACTATTATTGGGCAAATTTGCGAATACAGTAATTTGGAAAATGATTGGCTGCACGTGTCACAAAGCGGCAGCCAATAATGTATACTTAAGTAAAAAATCTGAAAAGCTTATCTTTGCTCATTAGTTGGTGTTTTATTTTGTTGGTACGTACGTACGTAGCTACAGTTATATTTGATCACGCATTTATGTTTATGTAAATGTCTATTTGTTACCGATGGCAGTATCCACCGAAGCGCGACTGACCAATTAGACGCAGGAAGTTTTTAACATGAAAAACACATTTCAAAAAATCGTTGTTATCTCGGAGTTTTTCTATGAAACACCTTTTGCGTTATAACAAAAATTTCTTTATTATGTACCATGTGTTACCGAAACCTAACCACGGTTCTAATACTAATTCTAATATTAGTTAGCAATTTTTCCTATGCTTAGTTTCTACTAACCTGTAAAACAAATTAAAATTTTTTTCTTTCCGAAAATTAACCTAAAACAAAAAATTGTGTACATTATAAGCAGTCTTTCTAAATTAATTTTTAATTAGTTTCAGAAAAAAAAACATTTAATATATTAATATGCTAAACCTTTATATCAGAAAGCCTGGTGGCTAAATACGGACTTATCAATTAGTACAGTGTACAATTCAAAAGATAAAGTTTATTTTGTAGTCCATCCTTGGATTGAACTAGACAAATTTAGAAACAATTTACTGCTGCATGTAGGTTTAGAACCCCTTAGATCATAAAAATAGTTAGCTTTGTTACATAAATGCTTACATTCTAATTTGCATCCATATTATGTACTACATATCTGCGGATCTACGCAGTCTAATAAATATAGAAACTCATCAATCACAATTCTGGTCAAAATTGTCGATCATTTGGCCAAATTTTGAATCATTTTACTCCAGTTCTGGTCAAGTGATCGACAATTTTGACTGGAATTATAACTGATGGGTTCTTATATTTATTAGACT